TTTCTTGGAAATTTCATGCTGAATTCAGATTCGAAAACCATTTTAAAATATATTAAAATCCAAAGAAGTTATGGCCAAATAACGGTACTAAATTCCAGTTTTATAACTTTTTAATGTTTTTGATGAGTTTTTTAGCTGTGACTCACTCAATTTTCAATTTTTTAAAACACTTTTCAGATTTGAATTTAGCATTGAATTTCCAAGAAAATGATGTATAACATGAAAATAAAAAATAAAATTTTTGTTTGTGGCCTTACGGTGAAAACGCAGCGACTTCCGGTGGGCGGTTGGGTCTATTTCAATATTGATCACCCCGACTGGACATGCCACTCCATAAATGGAAGGTCACTTGAAGTTACGTCTCTAGTCCCTTAAAGACACACTTTGAGTTGAAAGTCTAATGCTTATAACTTTCATTTACAAATTTTAAAAATCGTTAAAAATAATAATATTATAACATCTTTATATTGCATAATGCATATTCTTCAGCACATTCTCTAAAAAGGTTAACAATACAACAGCAACATACAGTTAAAAAATATAATCACGGAAAAAATCTTGCAATGCTTTCATTTAGAAACAATATTATTTTGATAAAGTCTAACGTTAGACACATTAAGGCTTGAACAACGCAACATATAGAACATTTTTTCAAATCTTTCTTAGAAACGAAACGAATAAACAGTTTTGATTGTCAGTTGTAAAAAAGTGTAACAAAAAAGTTTTCACAATAACATTTCGATAAATCGTAACGTAAGAAAAGGTACATTTTAGTAAAATTTCTAAACGTAATTAAAAGAGTTTATATTGGAAAAGTTAAGATAAAACGTAACGTTATCAAAAAATATTCTTTGCACTGAAATGCATTGTAACGTACAGAACTATGCCCCAATGACGTTTTATAAAAGCAAAACGTTTGTCATCTTTTAGATCTTAAACCAAGTGAAAGTGTAACGTAAGGTCTCTGAAAATATTTACCTTGCATGAAAGTGGAACGTTAAAAAATTGTGGTTTTATTACATAAGCTTTAACGCAACGTTGGGAAAGTTTTTTAATACGGGAGATGCAAAAGCGTAACGGAGCTTACTGTTTTTTCACAACATTTACTAAAGCTAAACGTTGTATAAGGTATTCAAGTGCAGAAAATTCATTACGTAACGTTACTCTATGCCATAAAATTTCATAATTTGCAACGTAACGTTTCAAACGTTAATACTTTTGATGAACACTATCGTAACGAAAGCTAAAATCTAGAAAAATCAAAACGTTGACATCTCTATCATCTGCTATCCAAAACTAGTTACTATCCAAATACGTTGCTATCAAAATAGTAGTTGTGTTTCTAAATAAGTTGCTATTAAAACCAGTTCTTAGTTTATATTACGAAACCAGTTTATATATGGTTGTTCAAATAATATTAATTAATGAAAATACAAGTAGTTATTGCCGTCTTTTAAAAGGTTGGTACCTTTACTGAGGCAACAAAACGAGCCGACTCCATGCCTACGCATAGTTTGCCAAAGACTGAAGAATTCCAAATTTTGAGAATTTTTTTTCCATTTTTTTCGGATTTTTAGAAAAAAAACTGGTTAAAGTAATGATTAAGAGCAAGTCGAAAATTTGATAGCAAATGATGATTGATAGCAAAATTGTTGATTGCAACTGAGGATTGATAGCAAATTGGCCTGATAGCAAGTGAGGCTTGATAGCAAGTGTGTCCATAGCAGTTACGGCCTGATAGCAAATGAGGCTTGATAGCAAATGAATGTGATAGCAAGTGAGTTGATAGCAAATGAGTTTGATAGCAAGTGAGTTGATAGCAAGTGAGGGGATAGCATGTGAGGCTGATAGCAAGTGAGGCTGATAGCAAGTGAGTTGATATCAAGTGAGGGGATAGCAAATGATCGTTGTCCTTCTGCAGGCCCCCCCCCATATAAGTTCCTAGGGAAGGGCGCCTCTTAAAAACTGTTCTCATATGTCTTTAATGACCTCTCTATAATCTAATCTAATTGGTGAAGGTTGGAATGCTGACAACGTCTGTTTCCTCCCTAACTAATCGAGTAGAAATGGGATTACTGTTTACTGCAGGAGTTGGAATGAATGTAATCCATATTGTTCGATGCTTCACTGACTACAAGAATGACATCATCTTAGTTCCGATCGCGGTTGCGAATGTAATCTATGAATTTATATTGATAAACTCAGGAAAAACCTTTTTTACTTTAACATTACCTTAAAAAATCTCATTGTCAAGGAAATATTCACGAGAAAAATTAACCGAGGTGTTAGTTGATCACATTAATGTTATTTATATTTACGATGTTTCAATGCTTGATCCTCTCTTTTTCTTAATCTCGAGACTAACCTAATCTTGTAGTACTTGTACCCTGAAAACTGTATAAAATCAACAGTATCGTATCAGAAGCCGGGAAATTTGAAATTTTGCGCGCCAATAAAGATTAACATACAAAAAACGGGAGGGACTCTCTAATTTTGAAAAACCTGTTTTAGATTTTTCTGTACTATAACTAAAAAAGAGTGGATTAAGCAAGAAATAAAAAGTAAACACATTGGTAATAATTGGGAAAGATGTTGCCGTATTTTTGTATCTTTAGAAATATATAATTCTGAAATTAATTAAACCGTTTTTTTAAACAGAAGTCTGCAAGCCACTTAATTCTAGAAAAACCACAATTGAAAATATTTAAATTTAAAAAGAGAAGCATGAATAGCTCATTCTTTATTGCACAGCAGAGGCTTGATATGACGTACAGTTGTAGGCGATTATATCAATACAATGAAGTCGACTTTCGATTTTAATTTTGATTTATATCAAGCTGTTAAACAGCATGGATTCACATAAACATAGAAGTCAAGAGAAGCTGTCAATTAAAAAAAGCTTTTTCTTTGATTACTTGTAAACTTTCAATTCGAAAAAAAGCTTGTTAACAATAAAAACTTAAATGAAAAGTCGTCTTTATTATAGTGATATAATCGCCTACCATTGTATATAATCCTTAAAGGTGGAATTTCTCCTGATTTATGCAAATAAAAAATATGTTTAAAGTGGTGATAATAAACATCATATGTCGAGATTTCATGAATTCTTGTATCCTGGAAACTAAATCTATGGAAACCATGTACACCTCAACTCAGAGATTAGGAAGGACTTTTAAATAATTTTTTTACTAAAACAAAGTATGAACATACAATCAGAATGATTACCTACACTTTGCTTTTCTGCTTTTTTTCTCTGACCTTATAGTTACAGTATACACTTTTAAAGATTTATGGACGACTTTTTACAAATGTGCCTGAACAAAATCGATCATTTAAAATTCGGGAAAAAAAACGATTTTTTGTTTGCTATTTTCATAATTTAAGATTGTAACTATGTATTTGTATAAATATCACAAAAAAAGTTTAAACTGGTGTAAAGCAAACAAACCAAAAGAAACCTGTGACTGCCAGTTCAGTATATATCGTTTGATAAAAATATTATCATCATCAGTTCAGTATTTATCGTTTGATAAAAAAATTATCATCATCAGTTCAGTATATATCGTTTGATAAAAATATTATCATCATCAGTTCAGTATATATCGTTTGATAAAAAAATTATCATCATCAGTTCAGTATATATTGTTTGATAAAAATATTATCATCATCAGTTCAATATATATCGTTTGATAAAAATATTATCATCATCAGTTCAGTATATATCGTTTGATAAAAATATTATCATCATCAGTTCAATATATATCGTTTGATAAAAATATTATCATCATCAGTTCAGTATATATCGTTTGATAAAAATATTATCATCATCAGTTCAGTATATATCGTTTGATAAAAATATTATCATCATCAGTTCAGTATATATCGTTTGATAAAAATATTATCATCATCAGTTCAGTATATATTGTTTGATAAAAATATTATCATCATCAGTTCTGAAACAATCAATAATATATGATAAAAAAAAAATTCAGATAAAAGCGTAACAATATTCAGATTGGACGAATTGAGTCTGTGCTACAAACTCAAATTTCCTAATCCTTTTATTTTTGCAACCCAATTTAGAAACCTTAGATATTTCAAACTATAAATTCTGTTAAATCAAATAATGAAGTTATAAATATCAAAGTTAAATCTAACAGTTCACCCGGAATAACCGGGTAAGATGTATACTTGCATTTGGTCTATAATTCATCAGACTTATAACTCTTACAAATGTCTCTTCAAATCAAACCATTGAAAGATAAATAAAATTCAATTAGAATTGAATTGAAATTTCCGATAAAGTTGTTAGATATGGAATTCTGAAGGAAGGATTGAGCCCAATTTTCTTCCTTCACTACACCTTGTCAACCTTCATCATAGTTACTGAAGCTCATGATGTTTATCATCTCCTAGATAAGAAGGAGTATATACAGGTAAACTACTCCTAGATAAGAGGGAGTATATACAGGTAAACTACTCCTAGATAAGAGGGAGTATATACAGGTAAACTGCTCCTAGATAAGAAGGAGTATATACAGGTAAACTGCTCCCTATAGAAGAGTAAGTAAAAATAAAAAACTTAAAAGGTTAAAGATGACCACTGTGAATGAGACATCAGGGATACCTGCTTTTACAACGACGACGATTCTTTGAACTGAAAACTTCATGATTTCTTTACCTAGGGTTTCATCTGTCTCGGGCATGGTATAATTGCTCTTCTTATCATCTACATCATCTCAAGCATCTCAGATAATTGTCATTCCGTTTTTAAAAAGCTCAATGATCATAGCAGGTCGTTTTTTTTAATGATAAACAAGCATATTAGAAAGTAGTTTTTATAATCGTAGATAGTTTTTAAATAATCATAACAGATAGTTTTTAAAGATCGTAGAAGGTGGTTAATAATCATGGCTGGTAGTTTTTAGTAATCAAAAGAGGTAGTTTTAGTAATCATAAGAGGTAGTTTTAGTAATCATAAGAGGTAGTTTTAGTAATCATCTAAGATACCTAATAGCAATGATAAGAGGTTGCTTTAGTAATCATCTAAGATAGCTTACAGCAATCATAAGAGGTAGTTTTATTTATCATAAGAGGTAGTTTTAAATTATTATTGCAGGCATGTTTTCATAACCATAGCGAGTAGTTTTTAATAATCATATGAGGCAGTTTGAATGATCATGCTGGGTCGTTATTAAAGATCATTCACTGCCGGTAGCTTTTAATGAAAATTTAGGTAGTTATTAATAACCATAGGATTTTTTTTTTTATCAAAGCAGAGTTTTTTATCATAGAAGAATGGTTTTAATGATCATAGAAGATAGTTTTTAATGATCATATGCAGGTCATTTATAATGATTAAAGTAGGTGATTTAAAATGATCATAACAGATAATTATTATGATCATTATTCATAACATGTAGTTTTTGATGATCATAGTAGGTAATTTAGAACAATTACTGCAATTTTAATGATCTTTTTCGACACAACTTACAATTTATCAAATTTAGAAGTAGTGTTCTGAATCTTTCGACGGATGACAAACTTCTGCTTATTCTTGGTAAAAAAATAAAATAATGAATTAACATTTTTAAATATAAAATTAGTCCTAAGTGTTATAAAATTTTGGTATTTGAAAAAACAAAAATCTGTTAGCTGTGAAATAAAAGTAAACCCTGAATTAGGAATGAAAGGTGTAGATGATGAAGGCAAAGCTACAGCACTCAACTTCTTCAAAGCGGAGATGTCAATGGTTCCCAGTGTTCTTGGAACAGCAGCTGCTTACTTAATCATCATGATTCAGACAACTGTTTAATTGAGAATAATCAACTACAGGCACAATCATGACTCTTAATCTTGGTATCTGAACCAAAGTATTATAAAATGAGACCCATTATACTGTAGAATGTCGACTGTTTGACCGAACCAGAATTTGTGTATCTTAAATCTGAGGCTCATATATTACTCTCCATTTTAAGCAGACCGAAGGTGTCCATATTGGATATCCAGATTAATATATACTCCATGCACATCAAGCTCAATGTTCTGATCTATATTATGAATCTAAATTGACCAATGAACATAAAACATTAATTCAAAAATACGAAGACCCCATTTCTTAAAACATTTATTTAAAGCTAAAGGCAGCTACCTTTCAGATTTATAACAGCACGAGATAAACATAAGAGTGCTAAAAATGTCGTTTGACTGTTCCAGAGTTTTTGGAGCGTACTATACATACTTTCTGAGCCCGCGATTTAAAAAAATTGGAAAAATACGGCTCAGGTCTAAGCTGTCTTTGGGCCTTATTTACGGCTTAAGCTTTCGGATTCAAGCTTAATCTTAATTTTCCACAGAGTTGAGTTCAAAAAACCGGTTTAATATTCCATTTGGCGGATTTTCATTGTAGGAACTGGCGCATTCACAGTTTTTATGAGAACAAGACTCAACATTGAGCCTTATTCTCCACTAAAAACTACCAAGGTCGGGTTTATTTTCATTGGTCCTAACTCCTTCAGTCGAGCCAAATTTCTTGCAGCTGTCAATCACGTGACAAAAGCTGTCGTCAGAGTTGGGTTGAAGATTGGATCTTAAAGTCGGGTTTAAGGAATTACGGCACGAACCGAAGTTTTTAAATCGCGGGCTCAGGTAAATTTTACTTTTGCTATAATGACAAACCAAGAAATGACACGTGCATCCATACATATTCATGCATTTAGAAATTATTTTATGATACTTAATATATTTATTCAATCCTTATAATATCTTGACAAAATAAACTTATGTTAAACAATAATAAACTTATGTTAAACCATAATAAACTTATCTTAAACAATAATAAAATTATGTTAAACAATAATAAACTATTAAACAAATATCTAAAGATTTTTTTTCTCTGACATTTGTATTTCTGTTCTTAACTGTAAATAAGCCTTCTTGCTTCTCTTAAACCAGACTATATAAAAACAAAAATATATTTAACTGAAATAGGTTAATTTGAAAGTCTTAAAGAATGATTTAAATGCTAAGTTTCGTACGTATGAAATAAAAAAAGATTTCTGGAGATTTTTATGATATGTTTAGTTGAATTATTCAAGTGTATAGGAAAAATTTATTTTTGGAAAGTACATTTATACATATCCAGATCCTGAAACAAAAAAAAGCTACCTCCATTGCACCATGTACAGTACCATACCCAATAGTGCTTGTACTCTCTCCACAAAACTGTACAGTACATATTCCATTCACTACCTGGATAAAAGCCCAAATAAAAATGGCAGTATGCGAACAAACAGGTCATATAAAGAGCCGGCTAAGGGATAATATTTCTAGTTGTAATCTCTGTTTGTCTAAGTGTCTGTTTGTTCGATCATAACTCAGGAACTCCTGGAAAGTTTTTCCTCAAAATTTTGATTTGGGAACTTGGGAGAGCCACGGAAATGTTCTTAGATTGGTTTTGAGATTCTTAGTCGACTTTTAGAGTGAAAATAGCTAAAATCATAATTTACGACAAAGCGTGGGTAAACGGTGGGACTAACAACGCTTGGTTCCCAATCTAGTTATGTATACAAATAAATATACATCCCAGTAAACATGAACATTTAAGTACAAGTAGAAGAATATGCATTCCTGGGCTTGCATTTTAAAATTTAATTGTGAATCGGGCATTGCAATCTTTGCTTGGAAGGTCACATAAAAGTACCCTTATAGTCCCTTTCAAAACGACAAGAATATGCGTTCCAGGCGTGTATTTTACATGTTAAAAGTCCTCCAAAATAGTAAACCGATATTTTTTACGAGTAGTTTTGATAGCTTCCTATTTCAATAAATTCCAAACTATACCTTTAGTGTCGTCTTTAAATTTTCATATTTTTTTTTTGTTCTCTCCGTAGATTTTAGAATACTTACTAATGGTTCCGCTAAACTCCAAGGTCCAACCTTTTTTTCATCGCATTTAGGGGTTCTGTAACTGTAAGAACCTTAAAAGAATAATTATTTTTTTCAAAATAAAAAAAATGGTTTAATTTACAATTAATATTGTAATTACATTTAATATTGTACATTTTGCAATTTGCAAAAGGAGAAAACTTTTTAAAAAAAAATTTTTTAAACAAAGGAAGAGTTATTAACCCATTATTTTTAATAACAATTCTTACTTCCTGCTTATACTTTTAGATTTAGGAATTCAAGAGTTTTACCGTCGTCTTCAAAGTTTCACCTATTTTAAAATGTCATCTATTGTGGGAAACTATAGTTCTAAAGAGTTCTAAGTCGTCATTGAAGGGAGTGCTCGCGAAAAATGAAAGGGGGTATAAGCTTACGTCGAAAAAATATTTGATGGTGATTTGCTACTAATCTTACACTTCATTCTGTTGCGTCTATAAGGAGAAAATTGTTAAAAACTACTCATGATGAAGAACGTAGCAAATTCATTAAGTTGCAATATTCGACTCGGATCGTAAAACAATTTATTTAATTTCAAACAAATCATTCAGATATTTCAACCAATAGTCATCGATTTTATTCGACGCATTGGTATATTTAGTTGATTTTCATATAAAGTGTTTTTTTTATCATATACAGGGTGTCCCAAAAAACATGGGAATTCCGTGACGAATTCGATATCGTCTTTTTAACTAATTCTTTGATTTAGTATACTGATACCTACTGAGAAAGCTGTAATCTGTAAGAGTTTCGTCTGCTATGTTCACATTTTGTTTGTTTATGTTTTGACTGCAATTGGTTGTACTTAGTAAAACAAGAAAATTGCAGTATACAAACAGAGTAAACTTGTCCGTATTCACTGTTCATCTTGCGGAGACATTATAGACACATATTTACAGTCTTTTATCCTTTTCATAAAATAAACTCTAGCATACATAATAATATTATGGCTTTTAAAATTAGGTAACACAATGCTAATTCATAACAAAGACGATATCGAATTCGTCACTGAATTCCCATGTTTTTTGGGACACCCTGTATGATGCAATTTAAACGACGATTAGTTGGCCGCCAGGTGTCACTGCTCTCGATGTCGTTTTTAACAATTTTCTCCTTATAGATGCAATAAATAGAAGTAAGATTAGTAGCAATCAACATCGAATAATTTTCTACGTAAGGTTATACCCCTTATCATTTTTCGCGAACACTCCCTTTAAAGTCTTATATAGAATTTGAATAACTCCGTATTACCTCTGAAGTTTGGATCAGACCCCCATCGTGTAACTTTTCAAACATTTTATTCAATAAAAATATTTCACCAAAAGTAAGATATTTCCGAAAACGCAAATAAAAAAATAGTCCAGCTTGGATTTGTTTAATACTTCCACAAACTATTTACAAGCTAGGAACTGAGGTCACGCAATATTATACCCACAAACTTATATTTTCTAATCCCCCTATCTTTGCAATTCAATATTGTAGACCTTTGCTATTTGAAAAAAATTAGGTCAGATGAAATAAGCTTAGTTTGAAATATCAATGGCTTACTCAACCATGTTGCAAAGATATAGAGATTAGAAAATCTGAGTTCTAAAAAATCTGCAAATTCTTTTGAAGTTTATTATTTTCATCAGTGAATTCTCTCTTTTCCCTTTTGTAACAACGAAGGAGATTGTTTAAATTAAACATTTTTCAAGCTAGAAAAACGACAATATCTTCTTTATTATTGATCAGACAAAGGTTTGAAGGGTACATTCTTCAATCGGGCCCTTCTTGGAGTTACAAGACGAAGTTTGAATTAATAATCTGTAAAATTTAGTAAAAATAACACAGCTTTAAGGTTTAGATTTAGTACGAAATATCAGAAAAGACTAAAAGATTTAACGTTAAAGTGATGAAATGCTTCGTTCCTTTAATAAAATTTGGTTTTTCTATGTTCTTTCCCGTTTGTTCCTTTAATAAGTTCCAACATTCATCAAGTATAGTTGTATCAGATAACTTCTCAAGTTTAGCACCTAAACAGATATAATTTAATCAGATAAATTCTCAAGTTTAGCACCTAAACAGAAATAGTTTAAGCTCAATCACTGCAAACTAAACAGGAGGCAAAGGTCTAACTCGAATTACATTACTGTTACATGTTTGTGACGCTGCTGCTCCTTTAGTTTTACTGGCAGCCGTAGTACATTTGAATATCAAAGACGGGTCAACCTTTTCGGTCCCAGTTTGTACTGTATTACCCGGAATATGGGTAAAAATAGCAGACAGTCAATGGTACTAGCCGGCGCAACAAGGTTGACGCGGTCAGACTTAAAGTTTAATATACTTTTAATAAAGGGTCAGAGGTGCGTGGTTCTGATTTCACACAAATGTGTTAGAAAAGCAAACATATCCGATTATAATTCAATTCAAAACATGTTTGTTTTACTTCATATAAAAAGAGTTATAATAAAAAAGATAAATTCTTATATGCAATTTACTTTAGTTTGACGTGCAATTGCACTCAGATAAACTATGTTTAAAATGAAGGGCCACGGTTGATGTACGTGTCAGTGTTTCCTTTTGTTTCGATTTAATCTTGATCCACATTTTTTATTTTTCTTATACCTAAATCTTTGCAACCTGATGCTGTATAAACCTTCATGTTTAAATTTTAGATTATTTGGTCTAACAGAATTCATTGTTTGAAATATCTAAGGTTGCATAGATTTAAAAATCAGAGATTGTGGCAAAGAGTTATAATTCCTTCACCTTGTTCTCCACAAATCCATCCTCCGAGAACATTATGTTGATTGCAGACTCTATCAAACCCAGGGATTGATATATAAAAAAAAATAAAACTGGACTAGTCCGTTAAACCTCCCCCCACCCCCCCATTTATCCTTCCGTCCGTTTTGTTAAAAAAGTCAAGCAGTATTGGTTTGCTATTTTTCAGATTTTTCACGTATATTACTGAAATTCAATAAATGTAAGAGTAATAGGAATTATAGATTAGTAACATTAAAGATATGACCCTATATGTCGTCTTTTAAATATTAAAGGTTTTTTTGTTCACAATAACCCTGAGGTAGAAGCCCAAAGAAGTTCCGCGCAGGCAACGTTAAATATCAAGACAAAGAGAGCCTCTGCCTCATGGTTATTTTCAACTCTAAACCCCTAAATCTTGAAAAGACGACATCTAGTGTTCTATCTGTATTGTTATTAATCCATGATTGGAAAAAAATAGAAAATAAAAAGCAAAAGATAAAGTTGTTAAGAACTCAATTATTCAAAATTCATTTGAAAATAAAGAATTTCGACGTTGTGCAGGAATTATTATAAGTGACCTTCCATTCACAAAATATTCGATTTAAAAAAAACAATGCTCATTTAAAATGTATATGTAACAAAAATCGAAAAGTCATCATCGTTTTTCTTACTTGAAAAAGTGTAAATTCTGATATTTTCCTTCCATTGTATCTGCAGCAGACATGCACAAATCAATTTTGTGGAGTAACCAAATTTAACGAGGTAAGCATAATAATTAATTGGATATCTCACGTTCTCGGATTAGATGTCTTAATCATTTTTGATCATAAAAAAACTTTTTAAATCAAAAATGCCAATTCTGCGAATAGAGAGTCACGTGACATCACTGTAGAATCCCCTTTTTTATATTTTCTATTTACCTCGTCCAGTGGGATGCTTTCGGGTCATTTTCTAAATAAAAATTATTTAGTAAATATAACGGTCTTTTTCATTAGTTTTGCTAAGTTGGTATTTTTAATTTGATCTGCTATATACCATCAGCTTATTGTTGAAAATGTTAAACCGACCAGCTGTATGCAATGTGTTTGTATACATTTTTTAAAAGGTTTTTGCTGAATAAAAGCAGTTTACCTAAACTGTTTGTATCCCAAAGAAACTGAATTCCACCATGTTCTAGGGATAAAAATAAGCGGTATGTTATTTGTCCTACAATCATTTGTCCTAAAATCATTTGGTTTACAAAACATTTGTTCTGCAGATCATTTGTCCCACAAATCATTTGTCCTAAAATCATTTGGTTTACAAAACATTTGTTCTGCAGATCATTTGTCCTGCAATTTAATTGTCCTGCAAGTAATTTTTTCCTACAAACCATTTGTCCTGCAAATCATTTGTACTACAAATATTTTGTCATGCAGTTTATTTGTCCTACTCATCATTTGTCCTAAATTTATTTTTTCCTACAAAGCATTTATTTTCCACACCATGTTTCCTTCAGCCGGGAAAACTTCAGTTTTTCTACAAATCTATTGACCTACGCTTCATTTGTCCGACTCTTTATTTGTCCTACACTTCATATAATTTGTGTTTGTCCTACACGTCATTCGTCCTACTCTTTGTTTGTCCTACACATCATTTGTCCTACTTTTTATTTGTCCTACTCTTTATTTGTCCTACACATTATTTGTCCTACAGAGATAGGAAAACATCAATTGTCCTACACATCAATTGACCTACGCTTCATTTGTCCTACTCTTTATTTGTCCTACACATCATTTGTTCTACATATCATTTGTTCTACACAACATTTGTTCTACAGAGATAGGAAAACATCAGTTGTCAACTTGTCAACCACTACATCTGATCGACAAACTTTTTCAAATGTTGTTAAAATGTGTAAATAGTTGAATAATTGAAGTACCTGTATTCCAAAACGGTTTCTCAAACCCAAGAAATATTTTGTTCATTGTTCCGAATCCCATTAGTTCAATACATTCTCGTCTCTTAATGTTAAACATAATTAAACTGATTACTGATAAGGGTATGATCAAGCTGATAAATGATTTATTAAGCTATATAATAAATAAATGATAGTTAAATAATTAATCAAGCTGATAAATGATTTATTAAGCTATATGATAAATAAATGATAGTTAAATAATTGATCAGGCTGATAAATGAAGGATCAATCTAAAGAATAATTTATTAAACTGAAAAACGATTTATCAGGCAGATTAATAATTCATGAAACTTATAAATGATTGAATGATTTAACAAGCTAATTAATGATTAGTCAAACTGATGAATGACTAAATAAGCTGATAAATGATAAATCAAGCTAATTAATGATTAATTAAGATGATAAATGACTAATCAAGCTGATTAATGATTAATCAAGCTTAAAAATAATTAATCAATCTGATAATGATCAATTAAGCAGATAAAGGATTGATTAAGCTAAAAAATGGCTTATCAAACTTTTGTTTTCCCCCTCCCTGAAATAGAGTATATTTAGAAGAAAGCGATTGTATACAGCATTTCATTTAAAATTATTCAATTTTTGTTTTTTGAATAATCAAACATTTAAAAAAGTACCTGTAAAGAAAGAGGAGGGTGAAATAAGTTGGTCTCGGATTTTAGAACTCCCAAAGAAACAGAAACTATCACGTTGTCAAACTTAACAACAAACATAAACAGATTTTTCCAGTTTTAAGAAACAAATTTTTTTTGTAATTTCAATTTAATGCACAAATCCTACTGCGTCAACCTACAGTTTTCACATTTATGATTCTTGAAAAAATAACCACAAAATTATCCTAGACCTCTCATTTCCAAAATGTGGTCTGCCTTTTTCTGCGCTGTCAATATTACCTGAGATATTAAGAATTTCGTTCTGATTTCAATTTTGTTGAATGAAATAAAATTGTCGAAATCTGAATTTAAATTCTTCATATCTCCGGTAATGTTGAAGAATGCGCAAAATATGCAAACCACATTTTGCAAATGCCAAGACCAGGGGTATTTTGTGATAATTAACGAAAAAATGCCGCAAATATTTTCAAATATAAAAGACGACATTCAATATGTCTTGCAACTAGCTGTCATGTTTCGTGGGACACCTTATACCTCAAGAGTTTCAGTTGTTCCTTCCAATTTAATTTGAGGAGAAGATCTTGACCAATCTATCTCAGATACCCTAATCAGATAATCTAAATGTTTAAGGATCATCAGAAAGATGTTAAGTACTTTTCCAAAGGCATTTCCCATAGCAGTAAATTCTCAAGGGTATTTCAGAGTTTCACTAGCGGCAACTTGTCAAATCTGTTCTACCGCAGCGCTCGGTCCCTAATCCTGTTCTAGCCGCAGCCTACACTCTAAGAAATCTGAAATTTTCATCTAACAAAATTTGTTGGAGCACCGGCTGACTCAAATACACCTTAGTAGAATCATTCGTCAAATTTTGTTGAATGTATTTTCAGTCGCCTTAATTCAAAGTTTGTTACATGATCTATCAACCGGTGTTTGTCCGCTGGCTGTGCCGCGCCTCCATATAATTATCATCTCACAAAGTTTGTTTCATGTCGATTCAACCAGCGACACTGCGCGGTTTAAAATTAGCATGCGTCAAAATTTGTTGGATGTCCCTTCAACTTACTGCGCAACTATGTAATCATTTGTTATATGATTATTCAGCTTTGAATCTAGACCCGTCATAAGAGGTTGGTACAGGTGGCGCCACCTATTCTCTCAATATTTGTTTTAACTAGATTCAAATTGTTTGTTACATAAATATCCGGCTGTTAAGTAAAATTTCAATTTTTTTATACAATTTATTAATTTTTAAAACGCATAAATCTGCAAAAATGCAATTGATAAAAACAAAAATTTAAACGTCATAAGTTTCAAGTTTATCACATTTTTTTATAATACAAATACATGAGGCAGAAATATAAGATCTTAATACAAATCTTTAAAGTAACATGCAGCATAAGTTTTGCTGTTTATAATACACTTTATTACAATTCAAAGCTTAAAGAACTGGACATCAATTAATCACCAATTTAGACAACATTTGATTCTTGTAGAAGTAGATTCTGCAGTCTGAATTATGGAAGATTTGGTTTTGCATTGATACTCTCTTTCAAGCAAAGCATTGAAGATGCAAGCATTAGTTTGAGAGAGTGTACAAAGGCTTAAAAAAGTTTTAATTTTGTTCTTCCAGTTTCTTGGAGGTTTCCCTTTAAATCTTTTTGATATCTCCAAATTTCCAGATCGAATTGACGTAGGTACAAGCGCTGTCGGCTAACAGACTAAACTGTCACTAATTGGAAAGTCAGCTGATTCTCCCCCTCCAGCCAGCCGTGCGAGCCGTGCCAGCCCGGCAGATGGTTCAACGTTTGATTGATCATAAATCAAAATTTGTTTAATCTTACACAAACTAAAATATCGGCTAATTACAATGAAAGAAAACTGTAACATGACAAAAGAAAGATGTCATATAACAAAGTTTGACACATGCTGAGAGAACAATGTGTAAGCTATTAACAAGTTTTGTTAGATTGTAAATTTGGAAAATATTTAACTAAATTTAAAATGAAAGAAGAAATTTGAAATATGAAAGAAGAACTTTGATGCCTGATGCTAAAGACCAAAATTGCATTTTTTAGAGTGTAACCTTTTCTTTGGGAAGTTGCCGCATGGGAAATTTCACCTTTGAGAAGTTGGCTCTTGTGAACTTGTCATTTGGAAAGTCTCCATTTGGGAAATGCTTTTGAGAAAATACCATCAGAAAGGCCAAAATTAGTGTCAATTTTCAAAATTTCAACTCATTTTTCATTTGCAAAATTGAATGGAATGACCCATTTTCGGCGTAATTTTCATGAATATATATTTTTTACGAAATTATGAAAAATTTGAAGACAATAATACCTGGTTTTGTATCTGATATTAACAGCAGTAAGCTGTTTCAATAAATGATTGATTAGGGTACAGTATCCATTCTCTAAATTTACAAACATATTAAAAATTTCAAAACGAAAAATCGATTTTAACCCCCATTTTTTTATGTTAAATTAATATCAAATTACAATACATTACAGATGTATGGGCGGTGGATGATTGAAATCGAAAAATTATGCATAGAAAAATGGACTTATCAATTATTGGGCATTTTAAACAAAAAGCTGGCAAATTTCTGTTGATTAAACGATAAAAAATATTTGTTACTAAAAAAGGGGCGTGAAGCGTCTTGAAAGCCGAAAGTGGTAAATATAATAAAGCACTCACAAAACGTTTCCTTAAAACGTTTCCTTACTGAACGTTTCCTTACTGAAAGTTTCCTTACTGAACGTTTCTTTACTAAAGGTTTCCTTACTGAACGTTTCCTTACTTAACGTTTCTTTATTGAATGTTTCTTTACAAAACGTTTCCTACACAAAACTTGTCCTGCTACAAAACGTTTCCAGTCACCAAACGTTTCCTGCAACCAAACTTTTCCTGCTTCAAAACGTTTTTTGACACTAAACGTTTCTTGCCACTAAACGTTTCCTGCCACTAAACATTTCCTGCTGCCAAATGTTTCCAGTCACAAAACGTTTCCTTTCACAAAATGTTTTCTGCCAAAAAAAATGTCATGCCACCAAAAGTTTTCTGCCGACAAACGTTTCCTGCTACAAAACGTTTCCTACTACAAAAAATTTTCTTCTAAAACGTTTCCTGCTACAAACGTTTTCTGCCACAAAATGTTTAATGCTACAAAACATTTACTGCCACCAAACATTTCCTGCCGCCAAAAGTTTCCTGCTACAAACTTTTCCTGTCACAAAACGTTTAATGCCGCGAAACGTTTCCTGCTACAATCATTTCCTGCCACCAAAAGTTTCCTGCGGTCAAACTTTTTATGCTTCCAAGCGTTTCCTGCTGTAAAACGTTTTCTGCCACAAAACGTTTCCTGCTAAAACGTTTCTGATAAAACGATTCCTGTGACAAAACTACCTAGGACTGGATCAGAATCCACATCTCCCCTCTCATAATCAATATATTCACCCCAGGAAGAAACAGACTAAAAAAGAAAATATATAGAAAACGAAAACCCCCCAAAAATATAACCAAGCTGGAAAAAAAAATTTCGGGCCAAAATAGTGTCACCTTAATTTTCTCACTCGAAAATTCTGAAGAAATAAGTATATGAACTTTATATAAATGAACGGAGAAAACAATAAACTAGCAAATTGCACGTCAAATTGAAATCTTTTATTTTTCAATCATAACTCTTTTTTATTTATTTCTAATTTAAAACCAAAGCTAAAAACTTTAGAATGGTTGATATCGAGATCAATGCTTGAAGTTGATCCTTTCTTTTTGCTAATCTCAAGACTAATTTAAGTCTTCAGATTAATTTCTAGAGATTAGAAATGCGCTCTTTAGCTTTTGAAAACAGGTTTTTGATATCAATTGGACTAATGATCGATTGAACGAACCTATTTTTTGGATTAATGTTTATTAAGACTACAGTTCAAAAGGACTATAGTTCCAAATATGATAAGATATGTTTCTTAACAGGTTTGTATTAAATTTATATTTGTTTATTATTATTATTATTATTATTATTATTATTATTATTATTATTATCATTATTATTTTAATTAATAATAATATTAATTATGATAATTCATAATAATTTTGTTATTATTAATATTATAAAATGAACCTGTTGAAATAGATCTGGAACTCCAGTATCTACCTTCTCCCATTGTATAAACCATCTATATATAGACTCCATCTCTTTTAACACATTCTCATCCTTCTCAGTCTCGACAAACTCAGAAAACCTACGGAAAAAATAGTCATTTTCTCCTTATATACGCAACAGATAGAAGAAAGATTAGTAGCAATCAAAAGCGCTTATTTTTCACCGTAAGCCAACACCCCCTTTCATTTTTTCGCGAACACTCCCTTTAAAAAAGGATAAATTATAAATGTTATTAAAGGCCCAAGTTTTTACCTTTTCTGAAAGTGTTCTCCAACAGAATTCGAATTTTTTTCATCATTTAATTCTTCATGAACATTCTCCAGAAACGTTATTGTCTAAAAGAAAAAAACGTATAGACTATTTTTAACCCTGTTTAGTATTTCTTTGATATATTTTGAAAACTAATTATTTTCGTGTGATTATTGCAGATGTATTTTTACCATCTATAATAATAATGAGTAGCTGTTGATGTTTATGAAAAGGGAACAAATACCTTGTTAAAGAGTCAGATAATTTGTTAAATAAAATTCAGGAATTAAAGGGATTTATAAACGTAATTTCAAGTGACCATTGATTATAATACTCTTCAAAAGAGTAAGGACAAACTCCTGATGATGCCAAAGTTTTTGGCGAAATATATTGAGAAGAAAATGATATGATTCTAGTGCTAGAGAGTAAGGTTGGGATTTGTTAAAAACGATCTAAAGTTAACGAAATTTCCGATTAACAACATGACTGTCATTTAAGAATGTATCTGAATAACGATGGGGAAGATAATGTGACTTTTAAATCTTAGTGTTAAATTCTTTTAATTTCCTCGTTGTTTCTAGTTCTACACCATAGAACCAAACGTCACTTAAAAAGATAAACTTAATACGAATATGCTTAATTTAGCACTTTTAAGAAAGGATATCTCATTTTTTCTTTTCAATTGGGTTCAAATTGGACATACCACTCTATTGACTGGAATGGAATGCTCAATAAAATTACATTTCACAGTCGCTCCCTTCCTAATATATCCTCCATTTACCTTCTCTAAAGTCTCTTTGTCTGGAGATCTACCTCCAGGATAAAAGAACTCTCCATCTCCATCACCTCCATTATCCTCACTCACTAAAAACAAGAAACTTACTCTGGCGACGACCAATTAATATTCTAAAAAGTAACAAAATAAAAAAATATTATGTTATGTTAACAATTCGAATGACCATAATTAAATTAGGAATTTAATTATTATAATGAATATAATTTAATTATTTCATTGAGCAGCATAATGTAACTTTTTTGAATTAACATCTATACACTCTGTATATGCATTAAGCCATTTTCTCTGTATAAACCCAAAAGCTTTCTATCTTCTCTTTAGAGATTTCTCTTTGATCTTTTTCATGAAGTCTTGAATTGGGATCTAGTTTTTGAATCAAGAACATAAATGGAAGGAAAAAAGTGTTCTCTTTTTTTTTGCGCATTTTTTGGGCATTTTTTTCAAAAACTTTGTGTTAGGTGGATGTCTAAAGTCACTAACTTATTCCATTTCCCCCACTGAAAACTCTTGTATTAGATACCCTAAATCGTAAATTCTACTGTCTACACTCTTGATTTTATGCTTTATCCTTTCTTTTAGATTTTCCATCTGGATTGCAACCAATGAGAGTTTTCACATCGACTGCGCGCGAAAAAAATTCAAAAAATTTCGATTCCAATTGGCTGTTCAAATTCAGCCATCACCTTTCTGATTGGTTGAATTTTTATACACTTATTATTAACTTGATATTAAGTCGTCTTTATACTGTCATGTTTCGTGGGGCACCCTGTATGATTATGAACTGACCTGGGATATTATTCTCCTGTATATACTTCCAAAGCATATTCTCCCCCCGCCCATGAATCCATTGGGCGCCGAGCTCCACAACTCCGTCTGAAAAATTATGAGAAAAAAACACCTTTAAATTTTTACAGACACCATATTTATCTATAAGATTCTTTTGATTTTTTTTTCAAAACGCCTGATGATTCATCCCCTTTTTAGATAAAATGGTAAAATGTAAATATTTTTAAAGACACCATATTTATCTTTAAGATTCTTTTGATTTTTTTCAAAACGCCTGATAATTCATCCCCTCTTTAGATAATATGGTAAAATGTAAATATTCAACCTGAAATGTTATTTTACCTTGCAAAATATATATTAAAAGAAACGTATGAAAAAAGAGGAAACATATTTTTTTGTATCAATATATATCTATATTTAAATATTTATAGTTTAATATTTTCTGTTTGTCTTTCCTACAGTTAAACCCTATATAAGCCATACATCGAAAGAATTCATCAAATGTCGTATTCTTCACTTTCTGATAATTGAATGTTGCAGGTATTTAGTTTTTAAATTAAATGATTTTATGGAGCTCTTTCAACTGTTCCCTCATATTCATAAAAGGGTCAAAAAAAAGTGAGAAAAAAAATATTTTTGTTTTAAACAAATATCAAAGTGTGACACATGTTTCTACATACATTTTTCAAGGTTTTTTTTAATAAATATAGTTTTTAGATCTCTAGTTTTAGTCATAAAAAAGTTATTGGCTATTTTAGATTTTTTTTCACAGACCAGACTTTTTTTCCAACCTGTACCCTACCCTTTAAATTAAAAAAATTAGTACCAAAAAATCCTTTAAATTACTATTAATTATGAGTCAAAAAATATAACGGTGGTCGGTGATAGTGTCAAAAATAAGAGTGCAAGGACAATAAAAACTACAGGGGGGCGTTTGCCCCCCCCCCCAGCCTGTTTAGAGTTAAAAGGTGGTAGACTTTTTTTCAAAAGTAAAGTTGGGGTTCCCAAGATTGTTTTATATGAGTAAGCTAATATAAAATTGACCTTGAATTTGAATTAATCTAAACTTTCTCTTAATTCAGTTTAGTCTAAATTATTTGAACATATGTTCAATCCGTCAAGAAATTGACCTAGTGACCTATATATTACAGCAAAGACTGAAGGAAAGAGTACAATTAATGCGACTTTCACTGGTTTAATTTCTTGACCTCGTGGCTCCTTTATTTTGTGTAGAAGTCTGAGTAAAACAAATGTATTCGATTACATATTAGAATTTTAAAACAATTTTTTCTCAAAAGCTATCCAAGAAGCGGATTTGTAAATGTACTTGTACATTAAAAAGTGGTATTAAATAATGGAAATAAAAGCCTGAAAACTGATGTGAGTAATTCCAAAGAGTGATGTAGGAAAAAATGTATTTACAAGTAAAAAATGCACGAATAAAATTATACAAATGAATCAAAGAAAGCCGGAGCTCTCTTAACAGACTCTCCGCCTTTCAGTTGCCTCGTACGACTGAGGTATCTCTTACGATTCTTCCTGAATACTGACTTTCGTTTTGGTTTTAGCCCAGGTTCTTTCTATTTCCTCCTGCCTCGTTTTCAAGCCGTGTCTACTGCCTATTGAATAAATTAACAATAGAATTCCCGATTTCAACGGTGACTTACTTTTCCACGCGTTTAAAGTTGAAAACCATGCGTCCAACTCATGTTCTCTGGGTTAGCATTTCTTAATGGATAAATATCTCTACAGGATATAGATGAGGAGACTTGTCATCCATCCCACTGTCTGTCCGACATATAGCTTTATACAATAGAGCTAATATGTTGTCTTCTTGAAAGGCAGGACTACTAGCAATCCGAGGTCTGGGTTCATATGAGGACTGAAGGGGTTACATCAATAGAACTATCCACTCTGAGTTTAGCTCCGGGTTCATGAGAGCTGAAGAGGTTATATCAATGGAACTATCCCTCCTTCGGGGTATTGAGCTCACACTAGTTATATCTTAGCTCTAGACCGTATGCAGACTGAAGGGGTTTCAGTACGGTCAATTTAAAATTTTAGTTTGACGTGCGATGTCTCCATACCATAAGGTTGCAAGCTCTAACCGCAAAATCGATGAACATTTTGCCAAAATTACTTTTAAAAAACTGCAGCTAAAACAAGTGCATTAAAGCTCTAACATTAAAACCAAAAACGTTGCCACTCTTTCAAGTCGAATTTTCTTAGCAGGCCAAATCTATGAAATTAATAAAATAAAAGCTTAAACCGCCATGTAACCCCCCCCCCCTCTAGATTACAAATCCTGCTTTAGATTCATAAAAAATCTAGAATATTTGATCTTATTTCTGGACTGGGTCAAAGTAAACCCGAACATTTCAACCCTGTTGACAGAAATACACGATAATTGATATCAAATGTTTGAGTAAATTGATATCAAATGTTTGAGTAAATTATGAATGATGTTTGTAAAAAGCAGATCATGTATTTTAAGCTAAAGTAATTACGCATCATGATTAACTCTAAACTAATGTATCCCGAAATTACTATATGCAACATTTAGAAATGCTACCATATATTCTTTAAGTATTTACTCTAGTCTATCTACAAGCTAAAGAATTACTAGCCTTAAGGTCGAAGTCTAACATACGGAAAACAAAAAAAAATCATGAACCAGGAAAATGAGTCCATTAAGCATTTACAAAAAAATCGTATTTTCGACCTAAGAATCTACATTTCAAGATTCTATTAAGTGGAGTTACCGGCAATGTATGGTGATTGAAATGAGTATGCAGTATTGTAGAAAATCTTTTTAGGATTCATTTGAGACATATTAAACGTTTCCACGATGTATAATTACTGAGTTTGAGTGCAAAGTCGACGATCAAAATTATGAACTTGGGTGGGTACGTTTTCCGAATCGGTTTTCTAAAAATTATTAAATAACGACAACGAAAAATAAAGTAAAAATTATACAGTAAAATGATTAGATGTTTAGGAACAAATTTCACAAAAGAATTTTTTTAAATTTTCTTGGAATTGTTTGAAGATTTCTAGAAATTCTTTAAATATCGTCTTTTCAATAAAATTCCAGAAAATCTGCAGAAAATCTTTGTGAATAATGAGATATTATAGAAACTAACAATTGAATAAAATTACTTATTTTCGATGAAAAGAGTTAATTTTTAATTTCTCAACGTCGTAGAAACTTTTACATGTCTCAAATGAATCCTAAAAATTTGTCCACTATACTGCATATTCATTTCAACCACCATACATTGCCGGTCACTCCCTCAAAACAATATTCATAATTGTCAATACTTTGAAGAGCTGGATTTAAAAAATAAACATAAAAGTCTGGAAACAAATCAGTTCACTAATTTATTTTTAAACTTGTAACGTCTTCCAGGGAGATTTGAAGAATTTAAAACTTTTTTAGCAGTTATTGCACTACAGGAAATATGGAATAAACCTCAACTTAGAATTTATTTTAGAGAACTACCATCCTTTACACTTTAGAATAAGAGATAAACAGGGATTAAATAATAATGCAGGGGGACTTTGGGTGAAAAATTCTTATTATTTTGAAAAAAATGAGTGTTCCTCAATCTTTATTCCGAGGGTTTATGAAATTATTAAGATTAAAACTGGCAAGAACAAATATATTCTTGTGGGTAATATATTCTCCAAATAGTGCTCCATATAGTCCATAATCCATATGTAAACATTAAATACTTTAATCAAACAATAAGTAATATATTCTCTAAGATTAAGTCTGATCCTAATTTTAAGGATGTGAATGAAATCATCTTAGCAGGGATAAAAGATCATTTTATAAAACCACACAAATCAAATTTATACAGGACTTTACCCATTTCTTGAAAATAGTTTTTTACCACTTATAACTCTTCCAACAAGGATAACTGGATCCTCAGCTACGCTGCTAGATCATACTGTTACAAACATTGCTGATGATGATTCAGGAATTATTCTTTCAGATATTTCTAATCATTTCCCAGTGTTTTTTATATTCGTCATTTTAAAGACAAATCTGCGAAAGTTAATCCTGTAAAAATATTTCAAAAATGTTATGCTCCCTCTATTTCAAGGTTGAAAACAGTGGTGGAAAATAAAAAAATGGGACATTCTTCTAAACACGGATCAAGAAACTTCCTTTAAAGTCTTTTTTTGAAACTATAGAAAACTGTTTTAAGTCTTCATTTCCTGAAAAGAAAATAATTTCTGCAAATAAGAGTAAACCAATGGTATAGTTCTTTCAGGAGCAGCTGAAATATTGGAAGGTTTCAATACGTTTTTCTGTAGTATAGGTCCTAAACTAACAAAGAATATTGCAACAATATATATAGTATGTGTATTTTTAGCATTAAACTATATCTTATCTCTCAACCATTACCATAAAATTTATAAATGTTAATTGTTAACTCTGGTTTATCCGCAAACTAAGTAAATGTTACCTTCTAGTCTATAAGTGTTAACTTAGGTCTATTTGCAACCTATAGAATTGTTACCTTCTAATTTATAAGTGTTAACTCTGCCCCCTGGTCTATCTGCAGCTTCTAGAATGGTAATATTACAGAAACCAGAGCGTGAAAGTTCTGCTGCTGCAAACAGACCAGAAACTCCACCTAAAATATTTAAATCTATTAAACAGAGAATATTTTAAAATATCTCTAAATAACAACTGAGCAAAATAAAATGGAAGAAACGATATTTTACGATCGAGATTAATGCTTGATCCTCTCTTTTTCTTAATCTCGAAACTAACCTAATCTTTTACTTGTATAAAATTCAACCAATCAGAGTCGCGTTATGAAGCCGATAAATTTGAAATTTTGCTCGCCATTTAAGATTAATATACAGAAACGGGAGGAACTCTCGAATTTTAAAAACCGGTTTTGATTTTTCTCTACTATATCCTAGAAAGAACGGTTTAAGAAAAAAATTAAAAGAGCGTCCATTGGATACTGAGATTAAGTAATCGGGATTAAGCATATCTTATTCTAAAGTTTTCAGCTCAGTAATTTTTTCTCGAAAAAATACGAAAAGGAAAACCAGCAAAAAAAAAAAAAATCTTTGAATCTCAATCTCACTTTGTCATTTTTTTATTGCATAATTTATTCTATCTCTAAACCAATGATAACTAATTTTAATATAATTCTAATTAGTTTCGATAAATCATAAATATTTCAGGAAAGTTTAACTTTAAGGACATTCCTTTATAGTCATGAAAAGTTTTACGAACTTGGCTTTTTTCCTTCTGGAAATTGATTATTTTCAATCACGATTTCTCTATAGAACTGACTTGCGGATTTCTTGCTTCAGAGAAACAATGAGAGGAAATTGTAAGAAATTAGCATTTGTAAAGCCAGAAAAACAACGATATCCTTCACATTTTTGAACAAATAACGGTTAAATAGCAAAATCATTGAATTTTATCGCTGGAAAGTATAATCTACATAAACTTGGCTTTCAGGACGCTTCGCACCCATCTTCTATTTCAAATGTGAACTTTTTGCAATGTAAATATCGTAAAACAAAAACAAACATAAAATTTGCGGATTTTCTAAAAAAAATCGATGTTTTCTTACAGAGAATTCAAATAAATAACTTTCAAAGACCGAAAATGTCTCTGCTGGGCCTATGCTTCCAAACCAGTCTGACAGTTCATGGGAAAAGGGAACAATGTTATAATATCGGTGTTTTAGTGAACATTCCGTTTAAACATTTCTTGAGATAAAGCGTATATTTGTGAGTAATTATCAAATATTTCAATAAATATAAATATTTTAATAAATTCCATCCCCCTCCCCCCATCATTACAATAAAAATTAAACCCTGATGACAACCGTATTGTTAAAAACAGAAGAAAAAAAACTACTTCTTAGAGAGCTAAAATATTAAATCTTTTCAAGGAAAATGAGCATTTTTATAGACAAACAATTTACTCAGATTAAAACCAAAGAAATCATTAATTGTTAAAGAATGTTAGAAGAAATTGAAAAAGTTGCAAAACTGAAATAAAGATGAAAATAATAAAATAAGAATTTGTAAAAAATTATGTAAACCACGGTAAAAAGATTTCAATTGATTGATTTATTTAATATATATTTCACTTTTAATTAGATTTAAAATCTATATTCAGGGTTACCCACAAAGAATAAGACTTCAGAGACGATTGTACGGAATTTGTTTCTTTTTTTATACTCACGATTCCCTTGTTTGTTTCTTTGCACAATATTTTGATAACTATCTGAGGCAGCAAACATAATTTAACCTTGGAATCATCACATTTTAAAAGTTTCCTGTCGTCTTTACAGTCTCATCCTTCGTGGGGTACCCTGTATGTTATGGGAAAAGCTCAAAATTTATCAAAAAACTTTGTTATTCAGGAGTTAAGAAAGATAAAATAAAAACTAAAAAGTGTGGTTCAAAAAAAAAATAAAAGTAATTTTGCCAAACAAAATTTACATATTAGAAAAAAATTGATCTTTTGAAAAGTGAAACAAATAACACGGTTAAAAATTTAAAAAGTTTAAACTGTCGAAAAATTGAAAATATAAAAATTGTTGCATGACCAGATTGTTTTTGTCGAAAATTTTCTGAACCAAACTTATGAAGAAAATGTCAGCCAAAAAAAAAGAAGATTATTAAGAAATAAATACCATTTGGAGTTTTTCTTTAAGTTCAAAGGAACTGTAAAAGTAGTTTTTAGGAACCCTCCAATGCTAAAGAGTGGCAAATCTGATTCACAACTGTACCCTTCAAAGCTTTGTTTGATCAAGCATGAATTAGATATCCATGTTTTTCAATCCTTGCTTCAGCAACAATGTAGAAATTATCAGAGTTAAATATTTATCAAGCTAAAAAAGACTTAATCTCTTACATTTTTAATATTAATCAGTTAATAGAGTTCCAAGGTGCCATTGTGAATCTAGCAGACCCCTCTTCAACTTATGACGACAGTTCATTTTAAAATTTGAATTTCAATGAAAGGATTTCGTCAAAACTCAAAAGTTGGTTATGCTTTGCAGTGGAAAAACTGAAGCATGAAGCATGAAAAAACATGATTAATTTATTTTAAAAAATTACCTCCTATTATACAAACCCTTGATGATTTTTTATCCATCCTTTTCTTGTTTATTGTCTACTGATTTTACTGTTCTGCAATGTTTATTTTCATGTACTGATTTTAATATTCTGCAATGTTTATTTTCATGTACTGATTTTACTATTCTGCAATGTTTATTTTCATATACTGATTTTACTATTCTGCAATGTTTATTTTCATGTACTGATTTTACTATTCTGCAATGTTTATTTTCATGTACTGATTTTACTATTCTGCAATGTTTATTTTCATGTACTGATTTTACTATTCTGCAATGTTTTTTTTCATGTACTGATTTTACTATTCTGCACTGTTTAAATTCATGTACCAATTTTACTATTCTGCAATGTTTATTTTCATATACTGATTTTACTATTCTGCAATGTTTATTTTCATGTACTGATTTTACTATTCTACAATGTTTATTTTTATGTACTGATTATTCTAAGTCATGTGTACTTTCACTGATTGTGCTATTCAATGTGTACTTTGACCCATTGTACTATATATATAAGATAAGGGTCTGCTATACTCTGCAAATGCAACGATACTGTAGAAATTATAACACATGTCTTAACTAAATCATAAACGTGTACTGTTCATTCAGGGGCAAAAAACGAAAAAAGGTGTCGTTGGTTTAAATAATTACAAAAGTAGGAATAATATTTAATTTTTTTTCAACTGCAGGGAAATATATATTTTTCTACTGAATTGTTCTAGCTTGTACGGAACACTAAATCTTAAACTATTAAAAAAAAACAAGATTTATCTAGTATAATTCAACATATACATCAAAATTTTGTGAAAAACGCTTTTCCAAATAAAAAAAAAAAAAAAAGTTAAAGGGAGTGTTCGCGATAAATAAAAGGGAGTATAGGCTTAATGCGATAAAAAAGCGCTTTTGAACGCTACTTATCTTACTTCTATCTGTTGCGTGAGTTGCGTATATAAGGAGAAAATTGTTAAAAACTACTAATACCAAAGAACCTAGTGTCCATACAAATTCAGAAAGATGCAACATACGACTTAGACCGTAAAAAATCAATTTAATTTCCAACAAATCATGCAGACAACCTATAGTCATCGATTATCTTTCGCCACATTTGTATATAGTTGATTTTTCATAATATGTTACTTATAAAAACATTTATTCCTGTTTCGAGGATTTTTGGTAATGAAGACGACATTTTAACATTTTCCAGGAATGTTCGAAAACAAGTTGTAAGCTGAATATTATTTTAAAAAATCAAATCAAAACATATTATGAAAGATCAACTATATACAATTGTGGCGAAAAATAATCGATGACTGTAGGTTGTAATATCTAAATTGTTTGAAATTGTAATATCTAAAATGTTTGAAATTAAATTGATTTTTTACGGTCTGTAAGTCGTATGTTGCATCTTTCTGAATTTGTATGGACACTACGTTCTTCGGTATTAGTCGTTTTTAACAATTTTCTCCTTATAGACGCTACAGATAGAAGTAAGATTAGTAGCGTTCAAAAGCGCTTTTTTATCGCATTAAGCCTATACCTTTTAATTTTCGTAAACACTCCCTTTAAGAATTAATGATTAAAAATGAAGTCATAAAAGATCGAAATTTGTGTTTACTGAAAAGGTACTGAGTTTTTGCCACAAGCTAAAATTTTTGCTACCTGATGGTGCAAGCTTTATCAGAATACAAAGTTTGAAGTTTCGGAGATCTACAACATTCGGTTGCAAAGATATATGAATTTTAAAATCAAAGTTTTTTCCAAAAACTCACTTATTCTTTTTTTTAAGAAAATTGTTTCCAAAACTAGAGAAAACTATAGAATTAAAAACAAAATGATATTTTTACATTTCATTTGATTTCCTGGCTAACTTCCTTCTGTGGTGTTTTCTGTTGTTGTTTTCAAAATTCTATCAGGCAATGTCAACTAGAAAACCGCAGTAGTCAAAACAGTTTAAACCAATGGACACAAATATTGAAAAATGGTTTTGTTGGTAAAAATCTTTTATAGTTCATCAGGATATAGTTATATAGTTCATCAGGATATAGTTGTAACCAGAAACCCATGAAACAAGGATCGTCTTCTTTCTTTCGTTTAAAAAAAAAATCATTATAATTTGTAACTAACATATTTTTAAACAATGTCCAGAGACGGGAACTTTTTTTTGTGGATATAGAGATCAATTTTTATCTTTTGTTAATCAACAGATAGGGTTGTTAATCGTTTTCAAAAACGATCGTTTCGTTTTCGGAAAAAACAACGTTTTTAAAAACGACCCACTCGTTTTGAACTTTTAAAAAACGAATAACGATCGTTTTTGTAAACGATCGTTTTTACAAAAACGATTTTATTATTATTATAAAGATTTATTCACACACAAAGATATAAATGGTGTAGTTAAAATTTGTTTAAATAAAATTTTTTTGAAAATACAGGTTTCCAAAAGAAAAGAGACCGTTTTTATACGATTGTTTAAAAAAATTATTGACAATTATGTTAACGAGCTTTATAAAAACGGTAGGAAAACTATAGTTATTGAAAAAAAATTACATGAAACTTTATTGAATGTCGTCTTACATAACGTTTAACAGTTGTGGGGGAGCTAAAACTTCTTGATATTTTCCTAAAAACTACTCAATGATTAGTAGAGATGCCCTTCAGGTCGGTTTTCTCTCTTCGTTAACGATCGTTTTGAAAAACAATCATTTTTATAAACGAGCGTTTTGAAAAACGATCGTTTTAAAAACAACCATTTTTAAAAACGAACTTTTAAAAAAAGCGATCGTTTTTAAAACGGTCGTTTCGTTTTCGATTTTTCGTCGTCGTTTTCATAACGAAACTATCGTTTTACAAAAAAATGAAAACGTTAACATCCCTATCTACAGATTAATTATTCAGTAACCCGCGAAGATAACTAAGATTCCAATTCTGAGCTGTAACATTTATTCAAAAGTGCCCAGCGTTTATATTGAGATCAAGCGGTTGGAATTTTGTACATCCAACACTACAGTTCCCAGCTCTGAACATATTTAATCAAATATACAGGGTTACCCACAAAGAATGAGAATTTAGAGACGACTGTACGCTATGTATTCTGTCTGTTTCCTTAGATACTGGATTCTCTGCAACTATAACTTCTTTCTTTCTTTGTCAAAACATTGAAAAGGCCATTTAAAGACAACATTCACGGAAGAAAGCTTAATTTAATCTTTAAGTCGTCATATTTAAAGAATATTTCAGTCTCGCCCTTTGTAAGTAACCCTAAAAGTCATTTTATTTATTAAATCAAATGAAAAAATTAGAAATTTTAGAAATTACAAATACGAAATTTTTACACTTTTTTCTTTCTGTTAAAAAGAAGATATTGTTCGAAATACGCAAAAAAAAAAATTTCAGATTCATCAAGATGTGTGAAATGTTTCTGTTTCTGTTGATACTGTTTCCTCCTTCTAATTGTGAACTAATCAGGGAAACATATCAAAAAATATTTCTCCCTATAAATTAAAGAAAATTGATTAGTTTCAGCAGCTGATCGTTATTTTTGTTAAAGCAGAGTCTGAATTTAATGAATTTGAACCGCGTCTCAAATCCGCCAAAAACCGGTTTTAATTGAGCGCTGGCTTAAATTTCAAAACATTTAGTACAATTTTTGTTAGAACCAACTATATTTGAGCCGTGTCTCAAATTTAAGCCGCGGCTCAAAATCTTTAAATTCGGCCTCAGATTAATTATTAAGAAATCTAAGACATTATGGATTAATGATTAAATATTATGATTTAAGGAAGATAAGACTTAAAGGTGTAAGTAGCAAAGAAGCTTGGGGTAATTTTGAACCAAAAATTTTGTTTAAATGCTGATTTAAACTATTGCTTAGATTTCTCTGTGAGATTATCCGGTGAAAACAAAAATTAGCTCTCAAGAATATGTCAATTACAGCTTACATGCAGATTTCTAAATGCAAATCCATGGCAACAACAAAATGTTTTTGAGGGAAAAGATCTCCTTGGCCTAAAACAGAACTTCTTCAGAAGTATTTCTCTTTAAAAAATGGCAGTTTATTATTTTTGTTGGATAACTTATATCTTATAATGAAGTTCTTTAAGTATAAACTGAACATTCGTTTTGATATTTACTAAATTGCAAACATTTAACACACCACCAGACTGACGAAGAATGTCATGCATTACATTACATTACATTACATTGCATTACATTACATTACATTACATTACATTTCATTACATTACATTACATTACATTACATTACATTACATTACATTACGTTGCATTACATTACATTACATTACATTACATTACATTTGTTACGCGAGCCATGCTGCGTGTAGAAAGTCTGCTTGTCGCCCCTGTGTATTTCTGAGTTCCCCCTGAAGATCTGTACGGAATGTATTGTGAAAGAACTAGTTTAGGAACTGTTTACAGACAGACTGCGCAGACGCAAGATTTCTTGCGGAGTA